GTAATAAATGTCACAATGATTTTACTGCTTTTTTAATCTTTTTTTTTTTCGTTCTGGCTGTATTTTCTCTCTTTTTTCTTATCTTGTTTCCCTATTTTATAGTACAGAGTTTGCATTATATATCTATTTATATCTATATATTATGCAAGTAACCATATAAGCGGTACGACCAACTTGGTAAACGAATCATTTTATTGATTGATCTCTAGTACAGTGAATTTTCTAGTTATAGAACGGGTCATTATGATCATTATTATTAACAAACAAATATCGATCTTAAGCATTCGAAATAATTAAACATATACTAAACATACAGAACACGTTCTATACTACAAGATACGCACTTACCAACAAAATTTACCAATAAATATCGAAAAAAACCCGTTACTCGATACACAGTAACTATTACTAGTTATAACGACGTATTAAGGTACAGTCGGTCATAAATATCTGCCGGTACAGTGGTACCAATAAATTTATTGTAAAATTGAGACGTATGACCGAGATCTAATCTGCCTAACAAGATTTATAAGTAGAATAGATTTATACTAAAAAAGGTTTAAAGATATTTTTGTCTTTTTTTCGGTTAAGTGTACTATAAAGTAAAAATGGAGATTATAAATGAGAACTTTTGGAAGCTGTAGTGTTATTAATAAGAATTTAAATGGTATGCGGTGTCAGGTTTAATTACCTGCCGTCCACTAACTAAAATGTGGCTAAGTGACAAATGGTCAAATAACCGTTTTAAATAAAAAAAATAGATCACGAAATTCTCATTTAAAAAAATTAGTTAATGTGTTTGGTTTATCGGAACTTAGTTCGAGAGACGAAGCATAGCTAAAATATCATCTAATAATTTCATTATCATAAAACTGGGTTATGTTTTTTTATGACATCTCAGAAAATTGTTTTGTTACTTATCCGCGGGCAGTTAGCCCGTAACATGTTGAAAATGTTAATGTAAGTACTTGAAGCGAAATATCTGGTTCATAGTACGTTTCTAGTAGCAGTAGAGCTGCTTGTAAATGGGTTCACCCAGGCTAGTACTGATACCTTACCTATTTCTGCCGTGTTCCGCTGTTGAAGGGTAAGGTTGCTGGTGAAATTACATGCACATGGGTCTTGTCAACTTATGTCTCAGGATGACCGGAGCAGTGGCAATGCCCTTCAAAGATCTTTGCGATTTAAATCTCTGAGTGGCACTGCAACTGTTATGGACAGGCGTGTAGCTTACCATCAGGCACACGAATTGTTCGTCTCGTCACTTGATGTTTTAAAAAAAATAGGTTGATGTTCGTATAACTAACGTGGGTTCGTATTACTTTTTGATATTACACAACCGGTATGCCACCTAGTAGATAAAAAGCTATAGAAGAGATCCGTTTATCTAAAAATTTTAAAATAAATAATGTTATTGATAAAAACGTGAACAAATATGTCAATTCACAAAAAGCAATCTCTAAAGTTTGTTTTTCTTACTCATTATTCTCAAGAAATTTGCCATATGAACAAATAGTGCTGCTTAATCTTTTTATCGAAATGTCGTTTTTTGTCTATGGAATTAGGATATTTTTGAATTTTAATTTCGAATTTTAATACCGTTGGAATGATAACGAACATTTGACACCGTCAAATATCTTTTTCTCTATTTCGAGCAGCAAAGATTTTTGGTACGAATGGTACGGTCATTCATCATGATTTAAATACAGATTGCCCTTGTTACTAATATTTCAATGGGACAGTTGCATAAGAAAAAACAAAATACTATCATTTACTCTCCAAACAACGGTCCTAAAATTTTTTGAAAAAAAAAACGAAAACAAAAGTCCGTGACGTCACAGAGCTAACGGCTATCTCGTTCGAAACCGGACAACCCTTGTTTAGAAAAAAAAAGGACCGCTCACCAATCGCTTTGTAAACAGCCGGTAAAGGCCATTAAGGAGGTTATAAAACAATTAACTTCCTTTTAAACACTATGTTCGTTTTTTGAATATTTGCGCAAAATTTCTTTTCTCAGAAATTATTTTTAGAACAGTCGGCGAGCGTTTGCAAATTTTTTAGTAAATATATTTTTTTAATCGCAAAAGGTTCTAAGGTGGTTATAAAAAAAGACAGTAACTTTTTTAGTCTCTTTCTGTACGTCTTTATTGTACTATCCAAGAACCGTTATGAACAGTTAAATGTGGATCATTTAGGAGAAATGTTAGGGTTTTTTAAGTGAAAATTATTTGTCGTAACGCACAGGATTGACCGATAGAGAGTTTGTGTTTTTTTTTATTAGTTAATTATCCCATTTGTTGTAGACTTGAGCTGACTGGTCAAATAAAGAAATCCTCGAAGTGAATTTACCGGTATTTTGTTCATTTTCTTTCTATAGAAGTATTACTAAACGAAATGTTTAAAATTAACCACCTTGTCTGTTATTGGAGTAGTAGCTCTAGCTTACATGCTGTCACCTGAAGTTCATAGCACCTGAGAGTTATTTTTTCTATACACATTTTTCAACGTTGTATTGCCTTGTATCAGACAAGTTGATCGCTTTGTACATAAGTGGAATAAAGTTTAGAAACTTCAATTCAGTACTGCAAAACGTTATAATTTGTATGGTTCCCTATACAAAATAATATGCAAAGTACCAGGTTATCATGAACTCTTAGCTAAGGTCTATACCATACAAAAACCAAGTGTAAAAGAGTTTAAATACTTTTTTATACATTGTAATAGACACGGCTGAAAATCACGTAAGCCTAAATAGTCTTAATTCTCGACTAAATAGTAAGTAAGTAGCAATGTAGATGCTTATGAAAGAGTTAATCCAGGGAATTTAATTGCCTCCGTGGCCGAATGGTTACCATGCCGGACTGCCACGCAGAGGTCCCAGAAAGAAGAGAAATATTTGTATGGCCTACATTTATTTATCTCGTGAGTTTGGGTGTAATTTGTGGTTGTCTATGTGTGTGTCCACGGCAACCGCGACACAGGGTTTCCCTAGTGCGGCGCTATGTTGAGTGTGAGCGTTATTATTGTTATTAATTACTACCACCTTACCTATTTCTACTGCCAACCAGTAATTTGAGCATTATTTACTGCGGTCTGATTTTGAAGAATAGCACCCTTTGCTAGTGAAATTACTGCGCCTCAGATCTTTGCCATTTGAGACGCTGCGGACAGGTAATACATACATACGACAAAAAAATACATTTAAAAAATTACGTAATAAACTGCCCCGAAAAATAATTAAACTTGAAAAATAAACTCATTGTAACTTATGAAACTTTATTTAAACAATAAGGTACCTACTTTTACGCATTGTCTCATAATTATATTAACAGTTAAACAATTTTAACAATGAATCGTTGTAACCGCCAGTTTTTTTTTTAAATGTCTTTATTTCTCTTGGAGAATTTAAAAATTAAACAAAATGAGAGCGGAATGGCGTATGGAGACATTAAAAGCCATTATTTTAAATTTATTTAATTAGATTTCAAGAGTGTCATGCCTACATTTCATTAACACACATTTACAAATAACAAACATTTCATGTTATTCGGTTTTAATGAGTTTTTATATGTGTATAAATACGATTTTCTTGCAAGTCTGAATTAAGTTTTTTAAACTTTCGAGAAAAACTTAACTGTTGTTTGTTTTTGAGGTTGAATACTTGACATTATTGTTATTAATAACTATGTTATTCGACACATCGGAGTAGTACGCAACCTTCTCCTTGAAGGAGGCACCAGCATTTCGCATTCAACATTTCATTTATTTAAAACTTACATTTGAAAGTATTTTAATTGAAAAGTCACATTACGAATTTCACGACTACGTGTTAGAGAAAGATGGAACAACGTGGCTCTCGACTCCATACAAATTTGATTCAAATTGTATTCCATAGCATTAGCAAGTTTATTTGATAAGAACGACCTTTAGAGTTTTATTCTTCTCAGGGAGGTTAAGAAAGGGAATAGCTTAAAAATAGATTTTTAAGGGTCAATTTATTTTACTTTTGGAATAAATTAATTATCTATTTGTTTTTGACTTTAAAATGCAGGTCATTGTTATTGAAAAGCAGCGATATCGATTTCTAAGGTTTCCGATTGCTACACATTGGAAATGTGACAATATTTTTTTAATATAAAAATTTTGGAAAAAGAAATATACCCGATTTTAAATCCGAAATAAAAACTTAATTTCCTACATCATTAACTAATTTTTATTCATAACAACTACTACGCATTTTTTCCCATAAAGTATGTAAGTAAGTAAGTATACGTGGATAATGTTAGAGTTGTTTAAATAATTTGCAAAACCCATTTATTCTCCACACAGTGTTGACTGTTAGCCGAACCAATTAGTAAAAAGTTATTAAACTAGTGTTAAGTGCTTAACATTTGAATGTTAAACAACAAGAATACAATAATTTTGCGAAAATTATTATGAACTTTATGCGTAATATAATGTTTTAATGCTTTTTAAGTACATAGTAAAAAAATTTTGCAAACCAATAAATTACAAAACTGGTTATTAACTTTTGAAACTATCAATCAAGAAGTTTAATGTAAGATAGACGTAAGTTTCACTAGCATTCCGATAATTATAGATGAGTTGAAAAAATTGCGCAGCGCGTCGCATTAAGCATCGAACTGGCATTAAACCATGGGCGATAATCGCGTCGCGATCTATAACGTCGCGTATCGTTTTATTAATCGAAATGCGCCGGCGCAGGCCGCGGTGGCAAAGTTCACGCGATCCCACCAGACCGATCGGTAACGCACAGAACGTTAGAGAAAGAGATGGTCAAATTCATGGTGGTGTAAATGCGAAAGAGACGGAAAGAAGAATAGAGGTTGCGTTAGAAGTTAGCCACGCCCCCTTCGCGGCCGAAGCTCCGAGTCCTCCTCCGAGAGCATTTGTGCGCGAGCGCCGTTGCAGCTACACGCAACCTGCGTTCGAATTATTCGAAAAATGGAATCGAACGCGCGATTTCAAAGTCAATAGCCAGTGTTTAATTTTTAAAATTAAAATTTCGTTTTTTTTAATTTGTGCTTTTTAAAATTTAGAAAGTTTTCGTACACTGATATGATAAGTGTTAATAAAAAGACAATAAGAACAAGTGTCAGTTAGCGCGTTTGCGCGATTTCAGTTTGCGTTTTGAGTTAGTATCTCACTGCAAATACTGTCTTGTTTGTTTATTTGTATCGAAAGTGACTGGACTGTGACATTTGAAAACGATAGTAGCTGATAATTGAGCCGCCACGTTTTCAGGCCGAATAGTGAAATTGCATTGACTCATTTTTACAATACTCTGTGAAGTGTATGTGGGATTTTCGGAGATTCTTTGTAGCCAGTTAACACCAAAGATATAAAGGTAAGTGTAACGTTTGTTTTAGCTAAATTAGGATGGCACTAAGTATTTTATTTAAACTTTGAAGAAAAATGAAGTCGCGTCAATTTGTGTTTAGCAGTTAGGATGTATCCAATACATGCGTTTAATTGAATAAAACCTACAAAAATAAATTGATAAAAAGTACATAATTTTTTTGTTTTTTATTTTAAATTTCACGTCTTTCGTTCCAAAATTAAAAACTTTAATATTCATACTAAAATCTTGCATTAATAATAAAAATAAGAAATACTTATTAAAATTTAAAAAAATGCGTTTTAAAAGTTATATCGCTTTGATTATAACAGTATAGGGAATTTTCTCCCTGCAAAAGATTTCAACGAGAGCCCGCTACGTCTGGGCTACCGCTGAAAATATAACCGATGGAATTATTTATTTAAATTTATTTTTGATGCTATAATTTAATAATAAAACAAAAACTTGTAAAGTGACTACGATAAATATAAATCTATAATACCTCCCTCTGAAATTTCGAAATGAAAAGTGAAACAAAAAAAAAACAAAACAAATTATTTATGAGATAATAAATTTTATTCTAAATGCACTACCTAGTAATTGCTAGTTACACATAAAAATTTAAAACAGAACACAAAAATTCAGGTAATTCAGATGGAGGTAATATCCAATCTATGTGTATAATTTCCTCGAACTTTTTCCGATCTCTGATAATGCAAGTAAAACAAAAATACAGTATTTGTTTATTTAAACATTTAGCGAAGTGCGAAACTGAAAATGTATTACATTTAATAGACCTTGTAGCGACAGATTACGGGTATTTATAGAATAACATTCAAAAATTAACGCCGCAAAACAAATTCAACATTAAACGTGTTTACATTACAATTGTCTATAGAGAACTGTTTGGATTCGTTCTACGATCAATCCTAGAAACGGGCTTTGGTCATTGACAGATAAATTTAAAAAAAAAAAATTTCGCAAGTAGTAATAGTAATTTCTTTGTGACAAATAGTGACAGACATAACATTAATACGAGGAATAAAAACAAATTATCTGTTACTGATATGTTCAAAATTTACCATTCACGAGGTTTAAAACTATATAGAAACAAAAAGTATACTCTAAAGGTTATTTATTATAATACTTCTGCGTGCTTGGATGACAAAAATCCGTGATAGTGGTCCATTTAGCTCTTGAAAGTTGTCTATATATGTTTCAAGTAAATATCATAAAAGACAAATATGTACTATAATATATATATAAAGACAAATATGTAATATTGTGGAGTCGAAGCTCCAAAATCTCGATCATCGCAGAAAAGTAGCCTGCTTGTCGGTTTTCTATCGGATACATTTCGGGGAGTGTGCGCAGGAACTTTTCAATTTGGTTCCGCCCTCACCGTTCCTCCTTCGGTCGACTAGAAGGTCCGGTGCACTCCATTCTTATGTCGTTGATATTCCACCTATTCGCACTAAGCGCTTTGCCTCCTCCTTTCTGATGCGTACGGCAAAGGAATGGAATGCTCTACCGGCATCTGTATTTCCCGAAAAGTACAATTTGGGGCTATTCAAGGCTAGAGTGAATAGGCATTTTTTTAGGCAAACGCGTCCCATCGTCGGTCACATCGTCGCTTAACATCAGGTGAGATTGTGGCCAAGCGTGTGTCTATTATATATTAAAAAAAAAAAAAAAAAAAAAAAAATGTACAAAAATGTTTATTTACAAAGAGCAACCCCGAAAGTTTCTTGCTCATTCTTCTCAGGGGAATTTGCTTTACGAATAAGCAGTAGAATTTAATCAATATGACTATTTCAAATGAGATTTACTTACCTGTGAAATAAAGATTAATTGAGTTCAGGTTTGAGGTATATTTCCAAATAAATTCTAGTCACTGTTTTCTGCATAATGCTTCGTTATTAATTTCATTATGTAGCGCAGGGAATTCCCTAGTTCGTGAGTAGGTTATTAATGTGATTGTCAGGCGCATGATTGTTGAGGTGGAATATTCTTCAAATTTTCGCACCAGGGAAACCCTGTATCGCGGGTGCCATAAACACGCGCATGGACAACCACAAATTACACCCAAAGTCACGAGAGTAACAAATGTAGGCGGCATCGAATCCGGGACCTCTGCGTGGCAATCAAGCATATTAACCGTTCGACCACGGAGGCAGTTAAATGGAACCAATTCTCAGGTGCCTTCTTTCCAACAAAAAATTCATCAAATTCGGTTCACAAATGCCTCCTCCTGTTTTAAAGATGTTTAAAAAGCGTTAGTAATTCTCAAACTTCACCTGAGTAAATGAAAAAAAAAAGAAATATTCGGAGCTAGGTAACGTGGAATTGAGTATACTTTCGAATACATAATAATTGACAACTGTAACAACAATAAAGAAATACCAAATTTTGAACCCAAACCAAAAAAATCCAGCAAACTACATTGAGTAAAGCGCTAAACGCACAATTTACTTTAAAAAGGTCATCATCAACCCGTTTATACGTCCCACTGCTAGGAATAGGTCTACTCTCAGGCTAGGGTTTAGGCCTTGCTGGCCCAATGCGCGTTGGGAACTTTATACGTCTTCCGAGAGTTGTGAACCTTCTTCGACGTGCAGCTTTGTTTACGATGCTGTTAACTTATAAAAAATGTAAGTAGCAATACAGCTCCTTGTGAAAGGGTTCGTCGATGGAAGTACTATCACTTTACCTATTTCTACCGTCAAGCAGAAATGTAAGCGTTACTGCGCTCCAGTTTTAAAGGGTGCTGGTGAAAGTACATGGGACTTGTTAACTTATGTCTCAGAGTGACGGGCGCAGTGGCAGTGACCCCTCAGATCTTGTTCTTCCCGTCCCTTGGTCTCATAAAAAAATCCCTAAGGTCATATAGAATATATAACGCTAAATTTGAATGCAATATTTTCATTATGGGCGTAGACATGACCACATAATATTGTCTGTGTCTGAATCACTGCTCGTAATATGTATATTTTGATGCACACGAAGCTTTAGGAAGTTAAACACTATATAATTATTATTCAGGTGACTTTTAAAATATGAGGCTGTTATAATATGTAATATTGTACTTATAGGTCGTATTAACATAATACATATCGCCAATGTCAGTGGGTGACTCGAAAAAAAATAAAAAATTTTGAAAATATTACCGCTAAATGTCACATTATTCAAGTATTAATACAATGGTCGGAATCACTTAAAAAAAAAAAGAAAAAAGAAAAACTGATTTTAAAATTCATCCAATGCTTTGTGTAGAGACTGGTATTAACAGCAGGCGTGTACCACCGGTGGTCACACAACACTTGACTTTTGGTATACTAAGAAACCCAGCCGCCTTGAGGAAAAATGCTACATTTACCTTTCTCGCCCTGTACAACTGTAAAATTTTCATAGTGTAACTCAGGAGTTTGGTATTGAGTAAAAAGCGCAAAAAATCAGGATTAAAAACAGTATTTATTTCAAAAAAGAACTAGAAATGTTACTTAATAGAAAAACGAGAATAAATTCTTTCTGATATATATCGTATCTCATCATGATTGTCATCAGAAGAGTGAGACGTTTCTACATGACTACGCTGTGAACCCAGGCTCACAGATGGAGTAGAATTTTCGTCAGACATCTTTGTTTATAAAAAATAATATATGAGTTGCGTTATAGGCAGAAATGGCAAAAAAAATAGATGACTTAAGATAACAGGTTAAATAGAAAGTCATAAAGCATAAAATCCACCAATGTCCACCGCTGGCACATCCCGCCCGACAAATCGTTTGGTTGATGGGGCGATGACGTACCACGTGGCCATGAAATTCCCGCCAGACAACAAATTATGGTCATTTTGATCACGTAAGTGTCAAAAACCTTTGTGAAACTACTTCCTCTTCTTTTTGTATCGATTAATCTCGTAATGGCATGTATCTATGTTTCACAACTCTCGGAAAACGTATCAAGTCATTCTATCCTTAGGGAACCCGTGCTCAATAGTGGGACACGTAGCATAGTCACTCTTGTTTTATAGTTAAGTCGATAGAGTCCACGGATCTCACCTTTGTGTTATTTCTTAGCATTCATGGCGTAATTACATCTATCACATCAATAGTTTAACTACAGTTCCCAAAAAACAACAAAAGTCCAAAGTAGGTTAACCAAGCAATTAAAGAAAACACTAAAATGAATCGTACTTCAATGAACAATTGACCATTATGTGTGGTTATTAAAATTGAGATAAAAACCAAAACAATATGGCACAAACAGTCCTCCCTGGGAAACTCTCCCACGCCTGTACTTATAAAAACTGGCTATCATAGTGTATATTACAATGGACAATGACAATATTGTGAACTTTAATATCTAGGTAATACTATGTAATTGATAGAAGATAATAAATTTAGGTCACATTTTAAAGGATTATTCCTTACTTCGATGTTCTTCATACGGCATCGTTTTCTATAAAACATTTCGCAACCTAATTTCCGTGGCAATTTTTATTACTTAAATAGATATTCTAAAATATTGTCATGATATATTATTTAATTTTCGAAATGTATAGAACAACGACATGACGACATATCATATACCATTCAAGTTTATTTGAAAAGAGCAATCCCTAGAGTTTCTTGCTCGTCCTTTTCAGGGAATTCAGCACAGTGAAGCTGTAGCTTTAAAAAATGGCGTTTTCAAGTGTAAATTTATATGAGTATCATGATTTTGGGAGCCTGAAATATTATTTAATATTTCACGATAATATACTCGCATACACAAATAATAAAATATGTCACCGAAATTAGATTGAGAAGACTAATCTGAAAATTACAAATTAACACTTTAAGTGACACACTGAGGTCAGATTCCCGGTAGGAACAATTGTAAAAGTGAACTTGTCTAAATTAGTTCGCGACAGTGTATTCTGGGTAGTGCCCGCGGAATTCATTTCGTTACTTATGGTACAGGGAAGTCCCTTGTTCGAGACCAGGTAATTTGCGTAATTGTCTAGT